ACTCCCCTCCCCTCTCCACGTCCCCGGTCCCCACTGAATACAAATACTTCAATGTAAAAAATTTCACGCTTTTAAATGGTAGACGAATCAGTAAAGTGTTAAAAGAAAATTAGCAAAAGAAAAAAAATGGTGGAAAATAACTGTTTCCTTTTTAGCAAAAAAAAAAAAATTAATTTTTGCAAATTTATATATTCCGTTAACAACTGCTTTTCTTTTTTCTACTGTTTCTTTTTTCCTTTATTCTTCATTTAATTGTTTTTTTTTTTTTTATCTGCTTATTGTCAGTCAGCGTTTTAACTGCGTTTTGATAAGCAATCAGAAGACAAGAAAAAAAAGGTACTTCCGTTTAGGATTGAATGAACAGAAGAAACATTTACAGTACAATTTGTCGGGTTGACTGTTCACATTTGATTTTGGAATTTCTTTTTTTTTTTCTCTGAAAAGCGTTTAACTGCCTAAACATTTTGCAAAAATGAACAATTTGTTGCCAATTTGTCTGAAACTGTTGTTGTTATTCACCCAATGTTTCATTTGTGTAACACAAATTTCAGTGGACAAAAGAAAAAGTGAAAAAAAAAAAAAAAACAAAAAAAAACTTAACTTTGGAACAGAGCTGTTTGTTGAAAATTTTTTTACATGACTGAAGTTATACGACGACGGTTTCTGCGCCCAAAGTTTGCCTTTTTCATCCTCTCATATTCCGATATTCGGGTGTCCACAATCACATTGATCGTTACTGACCAAAAACTCTGATATTACAACCATTACTGCTTTTCTTCTTCCTTTTCCAATTTTCTTTTTTTTTCACAAATGTTATACAGAGCAACAGGCAATTTTTTTTTATTTTTGCTGTTTTTTTGTTCCTATAATTGCTACAGAAAAGAAAAAGAAAGAAGAAAAATGAATTTTTTTTCTTGTTTATAGTATCAATTATAGCACAGAGAAGTGAAAGCATAACAAGAAACTTTATTAATAGAGGAAGGAAAAAGAGCAGCGTCTGAAGCCTGTTTTAATGCAGAATTTCAAGAAAAGTTATTGAAATTTAGAAAAAAAAAAATACTTTTTTCTTTTTTTGTTGTTGTTGTTGTTTATTTGTTTATTCTATGCTTATCGACCAATTCTATCAAATTTTTCCTCTTTTCTTCAAAGAAAACATTTTCATCGATGACTACACATTTTGTTCAGTTCACATCTGTTTTCATCATCGACAATGTCTCTTCGTGTACCTAA